AAATTATCAGGGGCACCCAACGACAATTTTCGGAAAATATCTGTTCGGGAGACGATTTGAGATCTACAATTTTCGGAACATTTGTTGTCAAATTTCTTGCTTGCCTGCCTCTCCTAGGATTTTCGAACATCTAAAAATGGTCTAATTGCCTATTTTTAACGGATTTTTACTCTAAAAAGGTCACCTAGAATTTTCGGGAGCCTTTTTTCTGGCTGAAATTTTCGAAAAGGGAAGTTTTGACCCCTATAATTTTCGGATCACTAGACTTTCAGCTAGGAAATCCGAAAAGATGAAAAATTTTTAAGGGATAAAAATATGCCTACATCTACCGTTTAAATACTAAAATACGTTTAACAATGCTATTTTTAAGTCGTTTTGAACTATATTCTCGTTAGGTGCCCCTGAATTATGCCGGCGTAATGTATCTAACCCTTCTATCTGTACGCATCAAGAGCCATTAGAGAACTTACGGCAACAGGACGGGAGAGTAAAGAAGACGGCAAACCCATTCGGGCTCGAGGAATAATTGTTAAATATTCTGTTTAAGACTGTGGTCCTGGCGGAGGACTTTCTGAAGAGGAAGACTAGCAAAGTGGAAATCACAGCTGAAATCAGATCAGATACAGCAGATACGGTTTCAGATACGGATACGGTATTAGATTGCAGTTGCTTATATTTCATGATCTTCTCTAATTCGTATCAGATCAGATACGGTAGATTTGGCATCAGATTGCGGTTTCCTTTTATTTCTTCTGAGATAGTCGAAATAAAATGTTTTACCTAGTTTATTTTCATATTCATAAAGAAAAAAATTACTTCAGTTCCAAATTTTCCACTCTTACTGAACTCTTTGTTCTTCTTATTTCTTTTATATGGATCTTTTAAAGCCACTGATTTCAAAGTTTGTTCCTGAAAGGCTGGTTAGATATTTCGACTGTAAAATAATCGAGTTAACAACTTTTGTTTCTGCCACAGCAAATTTGCTTTTGGATCAATGTTTCCCCAGATGATTGTGTTGTTTTTTTTTGTAGGCTCCGATATAAAATTCTGTTACTGCTCCTCATGCACTCTTCTTTCTTCTACCAGCGCTGTCAAGAGAGAATGGTATAAGACAGAGAGGGAATCTTACGGCGTTGAATGGGATATGTGAATTTCTCTTGACCCTTTAAACACTAAGATCAAAATTTGAATTCTCATTTGTTGCCCCTATTCATGTCCTACAGAAGTAGTGGGGAGAAGTTGATAAAATGTCAAGTATTAGTAAATTCATCTTGTGTGATCATGTCCGTAATTCTCATGACCACTCTGTTTAACAAAACATTGATATTACAAGGAGAAATTTGATGCTGATCACTCATAGGGCTCAAAGGGTTAAGTTATTTTTAGAGGATGTAATTAAACGGAAGTCTAATTCCTAAGACGTCCACACATTTTAATCGATTGTTTGACTCTCAGTTTTGACGTTGTATAGTTCCCATCCGATGGAAACGTGAATGAAGAACCTGACGGAGACGAACTTCAGCAAGGATAAAAATGGAGATAATGTTCGAAACAGTCAACACGTCGTTTAGAAAACTTAAAAGTGCTGTGGTCGTGTAGGCTCGGGCCAAAAATGACTGTTTCAAGCGTCAGAATTCGAAGATCAAGCGTCAGACCCGCGACGAAGTCGAACAAAGAGCAACTCGTTGAAGAAGTTGGAAGCTATTTTACCACCATGAACATACTTTATGGGTACTCAATTTCGCGATTCTGGCGAGATAGTATTTCGCGAGGTTTTATTTTCATGATTTCAATAGGCAAATATGAAAAAAGGGCACTAATTTTCGCGATTTAATAAAACATTGTCAACTTTTTTTTTATTTTCACAAAAAGTCTGAACTTTTAAAATTTCTAGGTAAACTAGAACAAGCAAATGAGTTGTTCGCCGCAACATTTCTAAACATCATCTGATCATTGCAAATCTTCAAATGGATCTTCAGGTGGCTGTTGTTATAACATAAGTATTAATTTAACATAAGTATTAATTTTCAAGTGTTTGCATGAATTTCACGAAGACTTTCATTCGCAGGTCTTTAATTTCGCGTTTTTTTTTACAGTGGCGTAAAACGCGAAATTAAGTACCAGTATTAAAGGTAGTCCATTCCATCCTAAATGTCACTGAGTTTGGAACAATTTGACCTTAGTTTTTATCTTGTCCAGTTAAAAGAAGCCATCTCTGGACACCAAGATGTCAAACGTCTCTGGAAGATTAAAGAGCATTACGTGTCCGGTTTAGTCCTCACCCCCTCCCCCAATTTCTAAATCCCGCCCAGCAGTCCCTGTCTGTGTTGGACTGCCTGTGGCAGGGCCAAATTGTTTGACAACTTTACACAAATAAAGTTTTCTCATTTCTTCATGAACAGGACATTTTAGAAGACAAGGTTTTTAAGAAAAAAAAAGTCATTCCACCGTTCACATTCTTTCTTTTTTTCTTTATTTCAAAGAAGCAAGCAAAAATAACAGGTGAAATATTAATCCTAATTATTTGCATAATTTCAAGAAGGATCTTTTACAATAAATTTTTCATAAGTTACTGTTATTTCAAACGTCGTCTTAATTTTATACAAAACTATGCAAGTATTGTTTTCTCTCAGGTTAAGCTAAAGAGAAATAGCAAATATTTCCACTTTTACAAAATTTCGACATTTTTATGATGGGAAATCGTCTCAAGCCATGATAAAGTTGGCGTTACAAAAAATAACTAAAGCGCAATTTAGTGCATATCCGTGATACGGAGTAATCTAATAACTCAACGCACCTGCAAAAATTATTGTAAACCATTGGTCATTAAATCCGCTCTTATTCGATACTGCAAGAAAGAAAAATTTAGCGTTTAATTTTAATCTATTAAATTTCCTTATGCTCTTCTTCCTTATCTGATCGTAGCTTACTGCCAAACCTTAAAACAATCCCACAATTAATTAAACAAATTACTACCATTAAACCTAAGCTGTTCGCAAAAGTTGCTATTGGAAAGCGTTCCAAATCGTTGCGTCTCGACTCCATTTGAATCTGAATGGCTGTAAACTGGTCGGCGGAACCAAGGGCTGTAAAAACATGTAGGAAATGATGGCTGTGCCTTATTATGTCAAAAACTCCTGGCATTAATCTCTCTGGCATCCTGGACATGTTTGCCAAAGCTGAAATCAGGTAGAAGTAGCAATGCCTCATGAAATACTAAAAAGCCAGTTGCTCGTGCTCTGTTTCAAGTGTAGCAGACGGTTCCACGAGAAGGCGATGCAAATATGGAGCGCTATTGCACAGAAAGGCAACCCCGAAGCAAAATGTTCTAGTAACGTACTTCATCTTTGACCATCGGTGTCGAGAGGCACAACAAACTACAGTTGACAAAACAGAGATGAGACAAGAAACGCTGAGAAAAATGGTCGAAGAACTGAAGAGCATTTTATTGCTATCGAACGAGCGACTGTAGAAATAAAATGCTTGTCCTGCTCCAACACTATACACGCTTATCGCTGCATAATCGAAAAAGAAACAAATGTGGCGAACTCTAGGAGACATGGAATTGAACAGATGAGCGCCAGAACTCATCAACAAAAATCCACATATTCCAATAGCGAACGACTGCAAAGGGTAGGCGTAAGTGTCGGTGATGCCGTACTTCCAAAATAAGGACGCGAAGCGCACGAGAAAAAGCAGAAACGGAACAAAGTGCGTCCAAACGTTGACGGTTTCGTTTCGCAGCTGAAAAGCACTTTTGACACAGTCCAAAGCAGAACCGTAAGGTTTGCGATAAGCAGAGCAAATAAACATTTCGCGGAATTGAGCAGGAACGTCTTCGGAACGCAAACCAAACTTAACCTTCTTGTGCTTGTGTTCGGCATCATGTATCTTTTCCATTTTAGCCATTTTAGTTTATGGTAGCTGTTATGGGAAGGAAAAAGAAAAACAAGCAGTTCTGATTTCGCTCTTTCCGCTGTCAAATGACTGCTTACACTCGTGGTTTGCAAACGGAATGAAAATGAAAAAGCCGGTTTTTTCAAAACAATTGAATTCGCCACCCGGTAGAGTATTTTTTTACCCTCTCGCTCATTGGTGGAAATTGCCGATGGGTTTTCCTGCAGGTGTAAATTGCTTTCAACATGGTTTTCCTCTGAACAGGATAGAAGATAATTAAGTGACGCCTCTGCGGACCGGAAAAAAAGATTACCATAACATTTTTCTAATCCCTCACTTAAGATTACTTTGCAAGTTCAAAACTGAATTCAACTAAGCTGTCAGGAAATCTCAGGGAAAAGAATAAATATTCTGATTTGTTTTAGTGTGAGATTTACACAAAGAAAGGAATTTCATAGATTTTGTTTACATTTTCAAATCTTTTATTATGAACGACAAAAACTTTATCCCGCAAGCAGATGTGTCCAATTTTCTAGGAGGGAATGCGTCCAGGTAAAGAATTAAAAATATATATATATATCTAGCCGCGGATTTTTTAAAAACCAACCTAATGAAATTTGCTGTCATTGGGATGACAAGGCGTCAAAAGGTAGGTTTTTTTAAAGTCCGACAAGCTCCAAATTCACAGTAACGAAGGAAAAGGAAAGGAGAAAAAGAAAGAGCGAGGAGGAAGAAAGGAGGAGAAGAGGAAAAAGCAATGGTTGGACACAAAAGTCCATTTAGCGGTAACGTTTTCAAAAATCCGAGTAAATTAGATTCCTCCTCGCTCTTTCTTTTTCTCCTTTCCTTTTCCTTCGTTAGTGGTGATTTTCGAGCTTATCGGGCCCGAGAAACCTGCCTTTTAACGCCATTTCACTTCAATGACGGCAAATTTCGTTAGGTTGGTTTTCAACAAATCGGCTAGATAAATTAAGCAATAAAAAAATAATAAAATAACATAGCTTTTCTATTTCCTCACATTTATCATTTTAGGTTTCCTATGCACCGTGCACAAAGATTTTGCGTTGGCTTTGCCTTCCTTAAAAGTTTTTTGTTTCTAACTGAGGCAGAAATATTGCAGATGTTATTTTCATAATAGAAAATAATTTATTCTTTTAAAATCTGCGACACTTTTATTTATCTATACATTATTTGATCAATAGTCTAAAATCTGACTGGTTATCAATGGCCTAATTAGAGCACTACCTGGATAGTGCGGGCATTTGGTATTTATGCCCAAGTAAATGGATATTACCTGTCAAAGAAAACCGTTAACTGTCGCTTATAAGCTCTGGGCCCAGTTTAGTTGTTCGAAGACTGATTAGCGCTAGCCCAGGGTTAAATTTCAATGCGGGATTCTTTTTCTCTTGTTCAAACGCAATTTCTCGGATAATTTTCTCCAATTCTTTGTAGAGCATCCAATGAACAAATTTCAGACAAAAATAAACTAAGTTAAACTGAATTTGCTCTTTAAGCTTTTATATCTGAACTTCAAATTTCGCACTAACCCTGGATTATTTTAATCCTGCTTTTAACAACCTCTGTTGTTCGAAGGCCGATATTAGCGTTTAACCCAGGGTTAAATATTTAACCCGGGTTTCTTTTTCTTTTGTTCAAAAGCATTTTCTCGTGTATTTTTCCCTGTTATTTTTAAGAGCATCCAGTCATCAACTTGTTGACAAAAAGAATTAAACTGAATTTACTTTTTAAGCTTTCATATCTGAATTCAAATTTCGCAGTAACGCAAGAGCCATAATAGGACTATTATGGCTCTTGCCCTGGGTTATCTTAACCCAGCTTTGAACAACCCGGCCCTGGGGCCCGTTTCTCGAAAGTCCCGGTAACTTAACGGAACCGGAATCATATTTTTAAATCAAAGTGTCAAGAAAAGTAGGGTGTGTTCTGACTTCTAATGAAGTCCATTTTGTTTCGTTAGCTAATAACTCTACTGTATAATTTTCAAAACTTTTAAAACTCCCTTCTAAACTGGAAAACAAAACAGCTTAACGGGCCCGGTAATTACCGGGCACTTCGAGAAACGGGCCCCTGGGTTATTACTTTTTTGTAAGGAGTTTTAGGACGGTTTATAAACGGAGGGGCTTATAAGCTATAGCAATGCTAACCAAAATACGCTTTGCATTTACTGGTTTTTAATTAAGTTTCAAAACTTCTTGGAGAGGGGTTTATATAAGGGTAGATGGGTCTATAACTGGGTTGGCTTGTAAGTGGGGGAGCTTATGAGCGGCAGTTTACGGTAAGCTGTAAGAGGACACCCAAACTTCAATGGCTCCTTCTTGCTTCAATTTTCTTGTATTTCCATTCATTCAGTACTGACAGCAACCATAGTTGTCTTTACAAAATCAGACAACAGCATGGCATATAATTACAGAACAAATTCTGATGTCACTACCCCAGGGACCGCGGAGCAAGGTGAAAAGTGGGAGGGCTGACAATTGAAAATAATTTTTTCATATTAAAAATCGAAAAATTTCTAACTATGGGCTATTGCATTTAATATCCGCACCCCCCGGTTGAGGAACCATGGAATTCTCCAGGGGTAAGTTATAAAAATTGAGGATTTCTTTAGGGGTAGATATAGAGTAAACAAATATGGAATTCTTTGGGGGTGAAGCCTTAATTTTCACAAAATTCTTCAGGGGTAAACCCAAATTCTTCAGGGGTATGACCCAATTCTTCAGGGGTAAACCCATGTTTTACGGAAGTCTTCAGGGGTGAATGCAATTTTAGCCAATCTTAAGGGGTAAGATGAAAAGGTAAG